TTTTGTGTGGCATATGTGCATGTCCGTGTGTGTGTGTGTGTGTGTGTGTGTGCACTTGTCTGTTCAAGCATGCATGCACATGTGTAGGCATGTGTATAGAAGTTAGAGATCAATATTGGGTTTCTTCCATTATCTCTTTCTACATTACCTTCTGAGATCCTGTCTCATACTAAACCTGGAGCTCACTGGTTCAGGGAGACTGACCAGCCAGCAAACCCCAGGGATTCTCTTGTCTCGGCCTCCCTAGTACTGGGATAACAAGTACAGCATTTTATGTGAGTGTTGGGATCTGAAATTAGGTCCCTGTGCTTGTGCAGCTAGCACTTTACCAACTGAGTCATCACCCTAGCCCTAGGACTCCACTCTTGAAGGAATCAGTGCTCATCTGTAGAGAATAGGCTAAGTCTCAAAGAACTGGGTTGGTCGATATAAGCAGGTTGTTATGAAGCTAATCAGTTTCCTTACTTAGCTCACGCTCTTGTTTCCCTCTTGTCACATAACCCCTCCGACTGCATATGTACGTCACCCTACTCTTCTGTCTGCTTTTGCCATGCGATACCGTAGGCCATCTCTGACACAGAATAAGGCCCTCGTCAGATATGGTCACCTGATCTTGAACTTTTCTACTTCCAGAGCTTTAAGCTAAATAAATTTATTTTTAAACAACTTATCCAGCCCCTCCTCATTCCCCACGTGTGTGTGTATGTGCGTGTGTGTGTGTGTGCATAATGTAAAACTAAAATCCTAGTTCATTGAAATAAGTCATATGACCTTTCTTACTTTCTATTTCTTCATCTGCAAAATGAGACTACACAGCTAACCCTCATTTAATCTTTGATTTTATAATTCAGATGTCATTTCTCCTTGGAAGTCTTGGCCAAGTTTTCAGACTAGGCCATTACCTACCCACCTGGGAACAGAGAATACCCTGCATACTTGCTTTATAACACTGATCATAACGTATCAGTCAAGCGATATGAGGCTTAACAAGTCCTTGTGAGTGAGCTGACAACTAATTATGATTAAGTCGATATGCAAACCATTACTTATTCTTTATCTCCACCATCAATATTAAAGTTTCATGAGATAGGAGGCAACGATGTCCGGTTCACTGCTGTATCCATGGTACCTTGCATTCAATCAACCCTGGTTGAATAAGCATATAACTGAATAAACGGTTGGACAAGTGGCTAATATGTATAAAACACATGGCACATAAATACACAACAAATGTTATTTTTAATTATCTTCAGAAAGGTCAAGTTTCTTGCCCAAAGTTCTAAAGCAGAACTGAAGGGTTGAGCTGGCTTCAGGCTTCATTTTTAATCCATTCCTGTAATCTACCTTACAGTAGGTTAGTACTAGAAGGGATGTAGGAAGATATAACAGGCAGCCTTTTCCACTAGATGAATCAGAAATTCATGTGGCTCTTGCACATTTCCAACCTCAGGGATTCAACCTGAGTGTTTAAGCACTGATGCAACTGTGTATGAACACACACATTTGCAGATATTGATGCCTGCTGGCTTGGAGAGCCTTAGTCTAATCTGAGAAATTGTGGGATCATAAAATCCTTGAGGACAGTGACTGTGATGTTAATTCTCATCACAAGATCGGTTCTTAGGAGCTCTATGATATCTGTACATAACCGACTGTGGGCAGCCACACTGCCTGGATCCCAGCACCAATCAAACTGTATACCCAGTGGGGCTGAACGTGTGATGGCTTCTGTGTTTCCTACTAACTCCTACGGGGAATGTAATTCTGGAGGGATAGATGAAAAGAGAGGTGCAGAGGACAGTTGGATAGAGTCCATGTGACTTGATACATAAGCACTGAATGAGGAAGTTTGGAATAAGGCCTGGAGAGATGGCTCAGAGGTTAAGAGCACTGGTTGCTCTTGCAGAGGACCCAGGTTCAGTTTCCAGCACCCATATGGCTCCATAACTCCAATTCCAGGGGATACAATACCGTCTTCTGTCCTCCACAGACTTTGCATGCATAGGTGCACTTACGTACATGCACCCAGAATACTCATACACATAAAAAATAATTAATTAAAGAAATTTTGAAAAAAAAGTTTGGAAGAAGGCAAGGGGCACATGTTTTGAGGAATGACTGGATGAGTTCTTGCCCCCTTATACAAAATATACTAGCTTAAGAATCAAGAAATTCTCAAATAGCGTTTGAATAAGTTTGGTTAGTAGTTATTGTGCCCCTGAGTCTCTGTCCAATCCTGTGCAGATATTACCTCAATTAATTCTCTGGACTCTAGAAATCATAACTATCAGTATGTTGTTTTTTCTGTTGTTTTCTTTAAGTGGGAAAATAACTTCACTTGGAGAAGTCAGCTACAATTAGGTCTCAAAATTTGTGGAACTACTTCTTGATGCTAATGGCCTTGGTGACTTTGAACATGATGAAGGGCACCATCTTGCTCAGGGGCCTGCACGAGCCCATGGTAATGCTATTGCCTATCTTCATGTCCCTGAAATAGGGGGGAATATGCATGAATATGTTCTTGTGGTGCCTCTTGGAGCAGCTGTGCTAATGGATGTCATGGAGACTGTCTTGGCAGATGATAACGACTCCCCGCATCTTCATCTTGGTTAGCAGGCCAGACATGATCCTCCCTTAGAGGGAGGGGTTTGCAGGAACATTTCTTGTCAATATAGTGCCCTCAATGTTCTCTTTGGGTGTCTTGAAGCCTAGATTGATGCTTTTGGGGTATGGAGGAATCTTCTCCTTGCCCTTCTCTCCCAGAAGATCCTCTTCTTGTTTAGAAAGAAGGTAGGCTGCTTTTGATAGGATGCTTTGTCTGCCATGTTCTAGGAAGGCTGAGAAAAGGCTACCATCTCTATTTCTTAGATGAGGAGTTGAGTCTCAGCAAGGATAACAGAGACTGTCCTAGGATCATTCAGTTAATAAGTGTTGTGACTGTGTTGTAAACTCAGCTCCTCCAATTCAACTCTGCTCCTTACACTTCTGCCATGCTGCCCTTCCTTCCGTCAAGCTGCCTTTCCGCCTATCCTTCCACCACGTTGCCCTTCTGCCCTTTATCACACTGCCCTTCATCGTGACACTCGTCTTTCTTAGACTGATGAGGACAGTAAGGTAGATTTAAAGAAGTCACCTTGTTCCATTCCCTGAAAGACCAGATGATCTGAATCTGGGTGCTCACACCAAGGCTGCATGCATGGTTGACTGGCTTGGTTCTCTCACTACAGGTCCTTTGTATACTTCATTTGAAATGTGGTTTTGGAATACTTTTCTTTAGCAGCACAGACAACAGATGTGGAGATGTAGTCATGAAGAACTGTCATTATAGTCATTGCAACTGTCATTGTATTAGACACTTCACTGTAGTGACAAGGACCTGAGAGGCACATAAGAGAAGGAAAGATTTATTTTAGCTCCCAACTTCAGAGGCTACAGTCAATGCTCCATTGTTTATGGCCTGTGGTAACATGGGATGTCATGGTAGAAGAACATGGTAGAGCACAGCCATTCACCTCATAAGTGCCAAAGGTACCCATGGACCAGATGCAGCCCTCAAGAAAACACCCCAGTGGCCTTCCTGTAATCAGGCCCCATCTCTTAAGTCTCCCCCATTCCCAATGATGTCATCACATTGTAAACCCAACAATGGATGAATTGAACACAGAAGCCTCATGGCCCAATCAACATGCAATAGCACTATAAGCTGGGGACATAGACTTCAACAATAAGCATTTTAGGAGGGTATATGAAATTGAAACCCTCACAGTCACTTTCTAGAAGTTCATTGCTCTCAGCTCTCCAAGAGGTGATCTCTTTTGCTAAAGAATAATCACATCCAAGGCAGCAGTGGTAAGAGGCTTAGCTCCCTTCTAGACGCTCATGAAGAACTATTCACAATCGTAATGGAGTATTGTTCTTGACTTGGCCAGTGTGGCTTTTATCTATGGTCTCCCCCAAGTCTGACCTCATTTTCTGATGCTGTAATTCTTCTTCCTCATGGGCTTGCCAAATGTAGGACTACTCAGCCTGCAAGTGTGCTCTATTTCTCATAGCCTCATGAGGATAGTAATGAAAGCATGCCGAAGAACATGCGTTTAGACCTGTGGTCAAATATGGGCCCTGGAGAACAGGCTTATCAAGACTGTGAGGCACAGATAGGAAATGGCTGATAAGTGAGGGCTTAGAGACAGAGGAACACATGAAAACACACACACGCACACATGCACGCATACACACACACACACACACACACACACACACACACACCAGAGATGAGGAAGAAGATATTGTGGAGGAAGATGTCTGTATTCTTTCTTTCTGAGCATCCTAGAATTTCGCAGCTTTGGTTTACCTTTTAAGCCCAGCAACTTCCAAAGCATAGAGTACTCTTTTGCCTGTAGTGAACATGCATTCATTTGTATACCATGATGACAAGGGCTGTTTTAAAATATTTCTATATTTTGAAAGCATTGCTCATAGGTATTAACTTTCTTAATCATTCAAGTGCCCGAACAGCCTAGTTTGGGGAATGCAATCTTTAAAATAAGTCCTATTTTGCAAATGAAGACACGACACAGGGACAACCTAAGCCCAGGGACGTGTCCAAGACCAGGGCTGGTGCGTGATGGGTATGTGACTCATTTCCAGGTGTCCTGAATCAAGCTGTGTGTTTTCTCCCAGGTAATGATGAATGTCTGGCACCAGATCACTTTGAACGTTTAGTGTAACCACACTCTGCCTATCTGTCTCTTTCTTGTTCCTGTGTGACTTTTTACTCAAGGTCTCTATTGTTCATTCTCTTCTCTTCCTGTCTCTGTCTGTCTGCACCCCCTTCCTTTCTATGCCTGTCTCAATTTGGATTTAAGTTTACTCCGGGGTGAAATGTGAGCTTCAGTATAAGGTGGTCTCACATATGATGTGATACTGTGACAGAAACCCCAAGGGAGACGTGGTAAATTAAGCTGTAGTCCTGAACTGGAACATGCTCTCCTGTCTGCCAGCAAGTACAGTCCTCATTAGGAGCAGCTCACAGGGGAGTATCCGATGACAGACAGAGGTGATCCAGGTGCCTAGTCAAGCAAGATCCCAGTCCCAGTCCTTCAGGACCTCTCTTGGTGAGCCTTTTACACTCATCACACATTGAAATGTCTGTTGACCCAGTGTCTATGTACTATGAACCAGCATTCATCTCTCTCTGCTTCTTGACTATAGATGTAATATGACCAACTGCCCCAGGCTCCCACAACCATACCTTTCCCCCTATGATTCACTGTGCTCTCAAATTGTGAGCTAAAATGAGCCCTTCCTTGTTTAAGTTGTTTATCAGATATTATGTCACTGAGAAAAGTACTATACCATCCTTTTCAGGGTCCTTCATATTTTGAAAAAGAAGATTCCTGTGAAAGCCACATCAACACCACATTAGTATTTTTACAGAAAGAGCTCCACTTGTACAGCCAATTTGAGAGTGAGTAGTGATGAGAAGAATTCATCTGCCCATACTTCACAAGTGCCATTGAGGCAGAGGCCTTGGCAGAACTGCAGCCTCATCACCAAAATCAAGAGCAATTTGACCTAAAAAAACAAGGACTATAGCGAAGGTCAGAGAAAAGGCTTCTGAAGGCTACCCTCCTTGGAGCCTCTAGTTATCCCATCTTGAATTCGACCCAGGTTGCAAAGAGCCTGCACCACGCTTACAAACTATGGTTCATTTTTTTTTTTTTTATGTGTGTATGAGCGTATTGCCGCATGTATGTGAGGGCACCTGTGTTGCGCAGTGCCGCGGTGGTCAGAAGAGGGCTTTGGATTCCCCTAAAACTGGAGTTAAGGACAGTTTGTAGCCGCCATGTGGATGCAGGGAATTGAACCCAGATCCTCTGCAAGAGCAGTCAGTGCTCTTAGCCACCGAGCCATCTCTCCAGCCCCGCAACTGTGGTTCTTGAACTACAATAAACATGAACTGCTGACTGCCTTCAGTTTTACCTGAAGTAAAATGAGGGAGGGATTTGCTAGATGATCAGCAAAGTCCCCTTGACCCTGTAGTACACCTACTACCACTTACACTGCAACAATCCATCTCCGTGGGGTGGAGGGAAGTAGATTATAAACCCTGAGACATTCGCTATTAGGATTTGTAGAAGACGTCCAGTGTCACATGTATCCCACCCAATCGATAAGCAAAGGAAGTTTCGTCTTTGGGGAAAATGCATGTAGCCAATTCTTTCCCAGAGTGCTTGTGGGATAAGTGGGAATACACCAAATACTGCTTCTGCCAAGCGTCCTCTTACCAGGCCAATCTAAACACCCTGTGATTGGAGAGTCAGCATTTCCGGGGGCTAGGCTGTTCCTGGTAGGAAGGAGGCAGCTGCTGCCTGTGCTCACAGTCAACAACTTCTGTTTGAATAGCCACTTCCTCTCCAAAGGGAGTTGGTTTGTATTTCCCTTTTAATGCTACTGGAAGTCCTTGAATGGCAATATCACAGCTTGTACCCATTCAGAACAGGAAAGTCAATACAGCTCAGTCCTGTGTGTCAGTTTCTATAAAAGAACCAGGAAAATAATTTCTATAGTGTCGCTTATGATGTAATCATCACACTTGAGGTTGGCCTTCAGCCAGGGAGCCTTTTCCTAGTTATTTTCAAACTTCACTGATATTTGCAAGGCAGGGACCCCAAGGAAAGCAATGCTCAAATCCCTGAAGAGACACATCATTTTGACTTCATTTATTCCTAGAGAAATAGCTTTGGGGAGAGTAACTCAGCATCTGGAGAAGAAGCAGGCTGTGGGGGTGTGATCCTGGCTGTTCAGGAGAGCTGGGTCTCCTGGAAAGATTGACTCTCACAGGAATGTTCCCTTAATAGCTGAAAATAGGCAAGTGCAAAATCTGATAAGGGTCTAAGGTCATCTACGTGACTTCTCAGATGATCTGAGACAAAGGACCAGTTTCATCGATTAATTTCATTTTGCTTGGTTGTCTCTTTCTGACCTTTTTTCATAGGCCAACAGTTTTTAAAATTCTGTAGCAGTAAGTGACAGAAAATGGAGGAAGGAGACAAAATACAAACTCCCATTTTGTTTATTATGCTTATGTCTAGGGCTATGAAACTTCAGAATTCTTTTTCTTGGTCTGGATGTTGGTTAAATAGATAAAAATGTCTAAGAATGTGTTGAGCGGTAAGCAGTGTCTGCATGTCCTCCAAGTGAACCAATGGCATTTTAAAGACCCACTCACTGGCCAGTTTCTCACACACTTGCAAACACACTTTCTAGAGAATGAAGGGTTAATATGGGAGTGGGGGATGGGTACTGTCATGATGATGGCGCCCAGGTGAAAAGACAGAAGACCAGGTAGAAAAGAAAGAATCTCAGAAATTAAGATTTCTGTGATAAAACAATATTTTTGTTGACAATAATATGTCATTTTTGTAATAATGGGACTAAATAATTGGTAACTTACCTAATTAATTTTGTGTAGAATGAGATGCAGAAATCCCTGCTCACTGTGTTTAAGGGATCTAGATACTAACCAACAAGCATGCTCCACATCAAGTATGAAGATTCTGGTTCAGGTCAACCTAGATATACTGGGTAATGAAAGTGTCATTTTTCTCTACTCATCCTATCCTGGACTGCAGATGGAAAACAGATTTTTATAAAATCAGTTTCCCTTTTCTCCAAATATAAAAGCTCATAGCCATAAAATCATAGTTAATAATCCTTGAAAACAATTTTGTAATTAGATTTGACAATTACAAACTAAATTAGACAATTACAACAAGGCATTAGTTATGAAATAATTGATTTAAAGCTATGGGAATCATTTCTCACCAAAAGAAGCCAACTATTCCTTTATTGCTCTGGTATTTTGGAAAGGAGACAGATTTTTAAGTAGGTAAGACAAAAGACTGAAATTCTACAAGCATTTTAGTTTCCAGTCCAAGACAGCTGTTGGGTGATGTCACCCAGAGAGCAAACAGCCGTGCATGGTGGGAATTAGCAGATGAAAAGCAAGAACACTTGATATGGGTGTGTAAACGTGCTTTCTCTGTCTCTTTGCATTCTCCTTGTAGACAGACACACCTAAAAGTAAAGTTACACATGGGGGCTGTTTATATGAAGTATAGAAGCACAAGAAAAGGCTGGAGACAGGAAAAACGGTGGAAGAAGAGAAACATTTCAAGGTTCAGATCGTGTTGCTGCCCAAATCCAGTCTCTAAGGAAACAGCCAGAAGGGCTTTTGAGCTCTCAGCTTCCTTCCAAGGACTAAAGAACTCACTATAGGCAGAGGAAGTGCCAAGGAAAGGCACTTGGACTCGGGGAACGTGAACCACTGGGTATGGGGAATAGTCAGCCCCGAGGGTTTGAAATTCAGTTCTTCAGAAAGGCTGAGGGAAACCGGAGAGGAGATCAACCTAGACACCACTAATTAGAAAACGTTCTGACATCAGACACTAGGCTGCAGCAAGCGGCAGGGTCAACCTTTGCACGGCACCTGAGGTGAACTCAGAAATGAAACACCTAAAAACATGTTTGAGAATGATTTGCTAGAGACAAAGACAGACAGCAGCTGTTAGAGGGAAGGAAGAAAGCGAAAGAGGGCTCCAAAGTGAGGTGCTGTAACTGAGAAGACCTGACAGAGAAATGGAAGAAAGGTATTCTATAATGCAATAACTGTCCTGTGTCAGACCAAACAGTCTTCAAAGGCTACCTTCCCAGGTGGCGGGTAACATGTCTTAGGATAACCACCGAAGTCTTCTACATCCTTAAAATGCTTCTTTCTGCATTAAAATTTTCTTAGAGGCAGCTTCCTGCAAAAGTAAGTAATGAACGTAAGATGATGCTCCTTTGGGGTTGTAAAGACAATCTAAGAACAAGCCTTTTCAGAGTAACAAACTTCACAGCCGGAGATAATTTCCTTTGCATAATGTGCTTCGCTCTGGAGCTTCCTTCCTCTTTTTTTTCCTCACTTCTACCCAGTTCTGTCATTATTCTACCTACCTCATCAGGGAAATCATTGTTTAAAAACTGAATATAAATGATGAAATATTTTTCGATTTTATCTTTTCCAAGATAATAGCTTTCTTTCCTCACTTCTTGCCATAGAAGAGTTCTGCCCAAATGGGTGATAAATTTCTCCAAGCATTTTGACAGTTCCAGAGGGGTAAATGAGGGTAAAAATAACTAGCTGATTACCAATAGGGAGCAAATTGGCCACTTGAGACCTCAGTGGCTAGAATGACAAATGAGAAAATGAAAATCCTCATCAGGGGACCAAGACTCTCTGATTAGTCCAAGAGCTGATATCCGCTTTCCATGCCTTTCCTTCCCTGCTGTGTGATGATTTGCATCTGATTGGACATCATTTTGCATTTGGGGCAGTCATTTCTAAAAGGGTGTTTGGAAGACTTTGAAGTACTTAATTATAACCAGGAGGCATTCAGGGCTGAGCCATGAAATGGAAGATGCTCTGTGTTGGACTTATGGAATGTTCATTTATAGAAAGAGCCCAAGTCTGGTTGGTTTGGTCTGGATTTTCATCCCATCGCTCCATAACGCGACCTTCCAAAGTTTTCTGGACACTAGAGGAAAACAGAACTGAGAAGAATATTTTTGGCTTAAGGATCCACATTCAAGGCAGACTCCGTGATTTCAACATATGCACAGACTGGGCTTTCTGTTTAATAGTCAGTTACTAAAAATAGAGATAATTTGGGACTCCTTTGAAGGAGGTTTTTTTTTTTTTTTTTTTTTAGCCAGTCAATAATGGACCATAAACATGCTTGGTAATGCCAAGTCATGGATGCATGAAGAGATGAAATAGGCCAATCAACCATTAGCCCCTACCTGGACATAACCCTATGAGCTAAAAGAGTTAAGAGGAAGAAAAGGAGATGGGAACTTTAACGTAGGTAATCAAAATGAGATCCAGGGAGACGTGATCCTAGCTTTGAAAAAATTAATAAAGCTATAGTAATTGCTATGGAGAAATCACTTGACATTGATGATTTTAGTTTTTTATTTGTGTGTGTTTGTGTCTCTGTGTGTGTGTGTGTGTGTGTGTGTGTGTGGTGCACAAGTACTGTGCGGTGGTACGAATGCCCCTGCACACTTGGGAAAAGCAGAGGAGGAGCCCGTATGTTGCACTCTGCCTTACTTCTTTGACACAAGGTCTCTCACTGAATCTGGAGCTAGGCTGGTGACCAGCTAGCCCCATTTATACTTGTATCTCTGTGCCCCGCCCCCCCGCCGCAGTGCTGGGGTTATAGGCACATGTGGCTGCATCCTGCTTTCTAAGTGGGTGCCTGAGATTTGAATTCATGTTTCCACTCGTATTAATCAGGGTTCTCTAAAGTAACAGAACTGATTTTATATATACGATATACGTGTGTGTGTGTGTGTGTGTGTGTGTGTGTGTATTTATTAGATTGGCTTTCAGAACAGAGTCTGAGTAGTCCAGTAATGGCTGCACCACACTGGAGAGGCTGAGAATCTGGTAGTTGCTCAGTCCATGAGGCTGAATGTCTCAGCACTCCCAATCTGATGCTGAAGGTCTGAAGGATTTCTGGAGGTCTCTTAGTCTTCAGTCTTCTTGGAATATGAAAAAGTTAATTCTATTATCAGTGAAGGAATGCCACGGCCACAAGATGAAACCACCAGTGAGAGGCAAACAGGCAGAAAAACCAAAGCTCCCTTCAGCCACAACCTTTTATGGGGACTGCCGAAGGTCACGCCCACATTTAGAGTAGGTCTTTCAGCTTGAAATAATCTGATCCAGTAAGTTTCTCTCATTTTAGTTAATTCCAGATCCAGTCAAGCTGAAAAATAAGATTAGCCATCACATCATGCTTGTACAAAAAGTATTAGTACTTCCTCATTCATCTCCCCAGTCCAACAATAATGATTATAAAATAATAATAATTTAATGCTGAGTAGAATGGTCTGTCTTGAGAAAAGAAGTTTGGAGAACAAAACTCTGGCAAGATGAAACTGGGCATAAATGCCATGTGTATGCTTGGGCTTTTAATACTGGGAAGGGAACTAGGCTTGATCATAAAAGTACAAGGGGAATATAGTAAGTATTCTGCATACTGTTAGAACTGCTTGATGGGTCTGTTATGTTCATCTCACAAAAATCATCAGCAAAACAATATTCCCTGGGATTTTTCCAACAGTGAAATCAACAGGTCAGACTTCTGTTTTGAATTTTTGGTTTGAGGTCAGGGATATAGAAGAAAAGAATGAGCTGGCATGGTGCCTGACATATAGATGCATTCAACACACTTTACCAAAGGAAGAAGAAAGCTGAGCCATATAGAACCTCCACGCCATTTCTTGGAGTAGCTGTGGGAGACCTGGAGGTAACCTGGTCCTTACAAAAGGCAGCAATGAATAATTTAGAGCACAAGGTCCGGAGTTACGAAAACATGGGCATGAAACTTCACTTTCCTGGGTCTGTATTTTCTCATTATAAAGGCAAAAATAAGGTTTATGAATGGGAATGATTAAAAGGTGCTATCTTGGTGTATTTTTCAGGGATGGGAAGATCTAGTATCATTTCTGCAGACTCTCAGAGGAATTTGTGTTCCAAGGTAAGGTAAGTACCCATGAATTATGTGTCTTCTATTAGAAGAGTCTATAATTCTGAGAGTCCAAGGTTGATTGTGATCCCAGGAATGACAACTGGAACACCTGACATTGTTGCTTTAATGATTTTGTCCATTGTAGGGAGTATATGGCTATTCAATTTAACTGAAAGAGATGAAAAAGAAGTTGTTCCTGTCAATCCAGTTTTGGATTCCGGGACGGTTTCCTAAACCAATATAATTTCTAACTCTATTCTACATACTTATTGTACATGCAGATATATTTTTACCCCTCATTAAAGAAACTTCTTTTTGCACCAGATGGAGGCTATTATAGACCACAGTTTGTCAAAATGTAGAGAATAAGTGACTGTGGGATGCACAGCCAGATTGGCACATCTCTAATGCAACCAATACACCTAAGGCTTCAGGAACATCACAGAAAAGGGGGTGAAAAGATTATAAGAGTCAGAGGATCAGGTTACCTGTTGCTAGATACATGTTACATAGCATCTTCTAGACACGTCAGAGATGCTGCACCCATGAAATGTTTACAATATGGTTACCCAAACAAGAGCTGGATAATGAAACACACCAATCAGCATGCCAACAGGGATAGAAGAAATCTCACAAGTTCCCTCCCCTAAATGAAGAAGTACAGGCAACCAACCAATGGCTACTGTGAGAAAGAGAATCAGTCTTTATAGGCTATCCAATCCCAAGGGGGTAGCCCTAACCACATGTACATAGAAACAACACTAAAAGCGTTCAGTAGGTTGTGTGTATGTATGTGTAAAAATAACAATTATAAAATAAAAGGTCATGAACTCGAGAGGGAATAGGAAAAGACATAGGAGAAGCTAGAGGGGCCAGGAAGGAGTAGAAATGATGTAAATACAGAACTTGTATATGAAATTCTCAAAAAGAAATGGACCATCTCTATTCACACTGCTCCAGGGCCCATATCTGCCCTGTTTAGCTAGCCAGAACCCACCCACCTCGCCCATTGTCCTGCCGTGGAACTACGCCCTTTATCCCTCCAGAGATCTCCTGAGTAATCTGCCTAGATTACTCGTTCCTCTAATAAAAAATCATAGATGAGATCCCGAAGCACAGACCTACTAACTATTCATACTCGATCAGAAGGCAGCCAAGCTACATCAACAATATAAACAGAACCTAACTTCAACTCAACAAAGGCAGGCTAGAATTTCATATCAGACACACAACCAACAAAAGAAGGTCATATGCCCAGGTCACAACAGAAAACACAAACTATGAAAAACAAAGATAATATGTTCCCACCAAATCCTACCACCCCATCAAAGTGTTCTACAATGAGGACTGCCTAGATGAACCCCAGGACACAGAATTTAAAGGAATAATCATAAACATGACCAAAGAATTAAAGGATTTTTAAAAAACATACAAGCAACTCAAAGAACTCAAAAATATAGGAATGAACTCCTTATTGAAGCTCAAGAAAATACAAATACACAGCTGAATGAAATGACAAAGACAAAGCAGGGTTTGAAAAGTGAATTCAGGAAAGAGATGGAAATATTGAAGAAAATTCAAGCTGAAATAAAGATGGGGTTGAAAACTCAAGTCAATTTGAAATGACAGGAGAAAAACCTCACCAGCAGAATGAATCAAATGGAAAACAGAATATCAAAACTGGATAATAAAGTTGGAGAATTGAAACACTCATGTACAGACTATGAAAAAAATCCTAAAAACCCACAGGAATGGAATATGTAGAAATGTGGGGCACTATGACAGGACCAAACCTATGCAACATGGGTGTAAAGGAAGAACAGTCTCAGGTCAAATGGTCTTGACAAGATCTTAAACAGAACTATAGAAGAAAACTTTCCTAAATTAAATAAAGACATACCTATAGAGATACAAGAAGCTCACAGAAAACACCAAATAAAAAGAACCAGACTAGAAACTTCCCATGGCACATCATAGTAAAAACACTAAATGTTCACAGGGTACTGAAAGCTACAAGAGAAAAAGCAAGTTACATATAAATGAAAACCCACTGGAATCAGTTGGTATTTCACTGCAAACTGTGAAAGCCAGAAGAGAATGGAGAAAAGTATTCCAAGTTCTAAATGATCATAGATGACAACCCAGAATACTTTTCTCAGAAAAACTTTTCATCATAGTCCAAGGAGAAAGAAATCTCCTCCATGTTACAAATAGGCTAAAAGAATTCTTGTCCACTACACTAGCACTACAAAGAATACTTGAGGCAATATAGAGGACTGAAGAAAGAAATGATCATACCCAAGAGGCTACAGAAATAAAATAAAGATATAATTATGGGAACATGAAATAGGACTTAGAACAGACAGAAAAGAAAATGACCATAACCAATACAAATCCTTCAATAATAACTTTAAATATCAATGGCCTCAGTTTCCCAGTCAAAAGACACAGGCTAGTTGAATGGATTAGAAATAAAATCCATCATTTTGGAGACTGGAATGATGGCTCAACAGTTAAGAACACTGGCTGATCTTGCAGAGGACCTGCGTTTGGTTCCCAACATCCATATGGTGGCTAACTGGTGCAACCATTGTGGAAATATGTATGGTGAACACTTTAAAAACTAAAAATAAATCTACTATATGATCTTCTTGTATGACTCCTTGGAATATACCCAAACAACTCAACATCCTGCTATAGAGATACTTACTCAGCCATGTTTCTTGCTGCTCTTTTCACAATAGCTAGGAAATGGAAACAATCTAAAATGTTCCTCTACTGATGAATAGATATTGAAAATGTGGTACATTTATACAATGGAGTTCTACTCAGCAGTTAAAGAAATGAAATTTGCAGGTGAACTAGAAACTATTATACTAACTCAAGTAACACAGACTCAGAAAAACAAACAACCTGTGTTCTCTTTCATATGTGGATTATAGCTCCAAATCCTTAGTTGTGAGTATATATCTTGATGTAACCACAGAAGCCAGGAAAATGGAAAGGAACCATGGGGGTACAGGGGAAGAAAGAGCTTGAGAGATGGGGATAGTAGAAGACAAGTGTTATCAAGGAGGAAATGGGGAAAATGGGATATACTTTAACTGGTGAGGGAGCAGAGAGGGTTATGCAGGGATAGAGAGGAGAGATAAATAATGCTTAGATCATGTGAAAAACAAGAGAGAAATGTATTATCTCAAAAGCCTATTGAAAAATAAACATCAATATATACATGAGTGCATGTGTATACCTGAAGGCTAGATAACAAAAGCATGGTGCTAGGCAGAGGAACCCTCCCTTCAAGTTGTTGGGCAGGGTAGTTCGAGAGACTCCCAAAATAGCACAGGTTATTGCTACAGCCCTTGATTACCTCCCAGAACTTGAAGGTAAGACCCTGTTGCTGTTAATTTCATTGGACGGATCTAGAAACTGTTATACTAAGTGAAGTAACACAGACTCAGAAAAACAAAAGACATATGTTCTCCCTCATTTGTGGATCCTAGCACCAAATCCTTGTAAGTGAGTGCACATCCTGATGTAAGTGTAGGAATCAGGAAAATGGAAGGGAACCAGGGAGGTAAAGTGAAGGAAGTAACCAGAGAGAGAAGAATATTAGAAAACAGGTGTTACTAAGGGAGAAATGTGTAAAAAGGGAGTAGTTAAAGGGAAGGGGGATGAGGGCTATACAAAGAACTATGGGAATAAAGGGGAAGAAGGAGCTCTGGAGAGGTGGGACCATAGCAGACAGAAATTATCAAGGGAGAAATGGGGAAAATGGAGACACTTTAAGTGGGGAGGGTGGGGAGGGAAGATAAGACAGGGAGAGAAAGAGGAGAGAGAAATAGTAGGAGACAAGTGTTAAATAGTGAGTGCCTAGCTAGTATAAAAAACCAGAGGGAATGGTATTAGTTAAAGAACCTACTGAAAAATTACACATACAATATCTCTACATGAGTCCACAAGTATAGCTGAAGACTATATAACAAGAAACAGTGCCAGACAGGAGAAACCTCCCTTTGAGTTGTTGGTCAGGATAGCCTGAGAGGCTCCCAAAATTACACAGGCTATTGCCACAGTCCTTAATTGCTTCCCAGAACTTGATGGTAAGACTCTTTTGCTGAAGACAGGACATACTTTGGAAACAGGATTTAAAGCAACAGAGCTGGAACTGACCCGGAAGCCACCTCCCCTGAAGGCTAGCTCTCATAGCTTTGGAGAGCACAATTCAAGCTGCTAAGGAACAACATCAATCAGTGGTCCAACCCCAGCTTCAAGGCCTAAAAATCACATCAATAACCAGCACAGCAAATGATATTGGTGCAGTAGTGGCACTTTTATCTTGAGGGTAATCAACAGCTGTCTAATTGGGCTTAAAGCCCACTCAGTGGGAAGAAACTCATGTGTGGTACTGTAAACCTAGCCAAATACACATAGCTGGAGAGGTCATAGATCTTAGAGAAAACTCCAAGGCTGTCACATCCTGCCTTAACACAAGTAAAAGAAGGCATGGACTCCAGTGGGGGAGCTATGGGAGGGTGCCAAAGGGGAGAGGGGCATAAAGATGATTTTCTGTATGAAATACACAAAAATGCAATAAAAATTTTAAAAAGACCATATTGCTGAAGACAGGACACAGGACTTGTAGCAATCAAACTGGAATTGACCTGGAAGCCTCATCCCTGAAGACTAACTCTCTTATTATCATATTTAAATGTCCAAGGGAAAAAAACCAATCAGTGATTCAATCCAGCTATTAAGTCTATGACCCACAACAAAAACCAGTCCAGCAAATATTCTCTACTGTTGCAATAGTGGTACTTTTATTTCGTGGAGTAATCAACAGCTGTCTAAATGGGCATAAGGCCTGTTCAGTGGGAGGGAACTCATGTGTGGTACTGTCAACACAGCTAAATGCACATGGCTAGAGAGGCCATAGATTCTAGAAAAAAATTTACTTTTTTCATACCCCTAGACCAGTATAATTTGTTACTATATTCTAAATTCATATCCTTAT